AAAACCAATAGAACTAGAACCCATATTTGATTTATCTGTGGCACTAGCATCCATATTCTTTTCCGCCATAGACAATCCTCCATTGAGATTTGAGCTCTTAACTTCCATGTCATCCTTATTGATGAAATTCATACTTTCTTCCAAAGTACATTGAGAACCCAAATTTACATTTTCATTACTGAAATTCACATTAACTTTAGCTTGCTCATTGTTTCCATCCTCCTCAATTACATCTTGTTTCACTTTGACATCCATTTCCATGACAACACTAACTATAGTTTCCACCTCTTCAAAATCCTACGCAAAATTCTTAATCTCTAGATTGCTCACTTCCTCCGTGTCAACCCCAGAAACTTCAACCAAATTACCAGATTCATAATCCTTGTAGTTCTCCACCAGACTGGGCACTGCAACAACTTCCTCAGTGACCACCTTGTTTTCCTCCTCCTCCTTGTCGCTCCTAATGACGACATGTCGTTTAGCCTTTGTCTTTTTTCGACCCATGATGACAATCAATCAAATCCTAAAACTCATTTTCATTCTCCTTTTTGAAATGAAGAAGTTGCCAACAGCGAACCGGTGAATATAGGGACGAAGAAGTGGCGGTGGGTGTGGATGATGAAGGAGATAATTTTAGATTTCCAAGAGGTTTAGTATATATATAACGAATGTATCCGTTACTATGCTCATCCCTACTATTAATTAACTATATATAACAAAGTGTATTTGTTACTATGCTCATCACTACTATTAATTAATTAAAATTAATTTTGTGATAGTTGATGGGAAGGAAGAATTTGGATTGGGATGGGCGCATATATATATATATATAAAATGCTCACCCTATTTAAAGCATAAGGTAACATTTTTATATATATGTATATATAGATTTATTATTTATTAATTAAACTAAAATGCAAAATGTTAAACATGTTATAAATTGTTCTTGACCCTAATCCCAAATAAATGTCTAACTATAAAATGTACCAATATCTATAGGAAAGTCATCACTTAATTTAAGCATGTACTCTGTAATATGTCTAAATATGTTTAATTTATACTCTTTCTGTTTATTTTTAAAAAAACTTAATTTAATTTTTTTAACTTTTTAAATATAAATTTTAAATAAGAATTTAATATTTTATATAAATAATAATTGAACAGTTTTTTCTTTAAGTATAAAATTCTTGTTAAGTAGTTTTATTTGATTAAAAAAATTTGTAATTATCATTTATACACTAATATGTTAATTTTTCATTTAAAATTCAAATATAAAAAGTTAAAAAAGTCAAAATAAAAGAAAATTTAGGGTGCATATGGGATTGTTATAAGATGTTGTAATTGTAACTGTAACTGTCACGCCCCAGAACCCAAATCCGAGGCGCAACAGACGCCGTACACTCGTGAGACGGGTCCCACAAGTGCACAAGGCTCGAAACTTATCATATCACATCTGATACCATCAAAATCTGAAGATCAAATTATAAAATCTCCGATATCATAAATCTCCAATAAAATCTCCAAATACAAGATCATGATTCATATCTAAAATTTATATCCAATTACAATATGGCTAGCCTTCTAACTCGTCACTTCCCGTGGTTTCCCCGTCCTCGGTTTCACTTCCTGAAATGGTGGACAAGGAAAA